CAGGGAGGAACAAGACCCCAGAGGGCTGAAGGGCACGACAATGCAGCCACAGGCCACTTACGTCCGTCAGCCAGACGTCCGGGTCCTCCAAGGCCACATCCAGCAGGCTGCTGGGCACCTGCTGGTCGAGGATGCTGGCATCTCCCATGGCCTCGATGGCCACAAGGATGACGTCTGTCCTCTCGTGGGACTGCAGGTATTTTCCAAAGGTCTATGGCAGCAAGGAAGGAAGACGTGTCGCGCTGAGAGCCCTGATGGTGCTGCTTGGCTGAGCAGCTCGAGGGGCCCTGGCCGGACGTGCCCACCACTGCTGACAGCAGTGCCCACAGCAAAGCTGGCAGCAGTGCCTGCAGTCCCTGCATGGCAGAAGATGAGCAGAGAGGGCCCTCCTGCTTGGGGAGGAGGGTTCATGGGCACAGGCTGCTGGCCCCACCGAGAACCAGGGACATGCTGGTGACCAGGAGCACTGGAGCTCCTACTGGGGCTGAAGCTGCTGCTGGGCCACTGGAGTGCAGCCCTTGTGCTGTCCCTGCTCAAGGACGGCGGGAACCCTCTCCCCAGGGAGCTGAGGGCACGCCAGCCCCACTGCTGCGGGGTCCTTTGGCTCACACCAGTGCCCTGCTGGTGCCACGGACAGGAGTCCCAGCAAGGGCGCAGCTCCTTACCTTGGCACAGTCCCTGGCGCTCAGAGAACACAGTGCAGAGGTGGTCACGGCTTCCCAGTGGACTTGGTCTGCTCTGTCCTTTAGCCTGGATTCGACTAAACACCGGGGCAAACACACAAGAGTCAGGAAGGCAGAGCAGCTTTGCCAGCAAGCTCACCAAACCTCCCTGGCATCTGCTGTTAAGGGGGCAGGAAAGGAGCAGTCCAGGATTTCAGGAGGGCATCAGGAACAGCTTCTTGCTACAGGCACTGGAGGGACCAGTCAGGGTGGGGGATCTGCTCTTCCCCACCAGGGAAGACGTGGCTTTGGGACAGGGAAGTCTAGAGGGGCTTTGCCTGTGGGGCCCACAAACCAGTGGGCTGCAAGATCCTGAAAGGAAGGGGAGGAAGGAGAGCAGCAGCAAACAGATCCTGGCCTTGAGCAGAGCACTCAGCATCTGCAGCAAAGTGGCAGCTGGGAAGCTCTGGGAAGCAGCTGGGAGGGGCAAAGGAGGTCAGGAAGCAGATCTATCAGGAGACAGAGCAGATGAAGCCCACCACTGCTCTGCCTTTTTTACTTACAGATGAACTCAGCCAGGGCAAAAAGAGCATGGAAAGCTGCACAGCTTGTCTGCTCCTCAGAGAACCGGAAAAGGATGAGACGCCCCAGCAGCTTTCCTAGGAGCGGGAGCTGGATCTCCCCAGAGCAGACAGGTCCAGCAGTGCCTCTTCCGACGTTGGCATGGGCCTGGCTGAGGGAGGCATGAGCAGAAGGGCTGAGGGCACAAAGGTGGTGCCAAAGCCCCCCACTCGAAAGTCTGCCCAGGGCTGGATTCCTGGAGAGTGCAGGCTTTGCAGAGCCCTGCGTCCCCGTCTCTCAGAGCAGCCATGTGGGCAGCAGCCCTGGCATGGAGAGCAGCAGGGATGGGGGCATGGCCTGGCTGGAGGGGGCCTGGTCCTTACCTGCAGAGTGGAATAGTCGGACAGCACACGGGTCAGCACATCGATCCTTGCCATGGCCCTCTCCCTCACAGCCTCTCTCTCGCATCTGGTGAAGTCCAGCAGCAGCTGGGACAAGAGAAGCAGCGGGTGAGCCCTGGGAGCAGACTCCAACACCAGCAGCACAGATTCACTGCTGGGCCGTGCTCGCCCCATCCCTCAAGGCTTCCTCTCCCCTCCAGCAAAGTCTGCAATGGGGTGTCTGCCCCTGGATTCCTGCCCAGGTCGGGAACACAGGCCCAGAGCCAACCTCATGGCCAGGCAGGAGGGCAGGTGCCACCCTCTGCAGCCCCTGTGCTCCACAAGAGCCTGGGGCCTGCCCCAGCTTCCCCACAGGAGGTGGGCACCCTCCCCGCAGGGCACTCTGCCTGTTCAGCACTGCTCTGGGCACCACTCAGCCAGCAGTGGGCAAACCCTCCCCTCCAGGCTGAGGAACAGCTCTGGGACTCCCCCCCGTTTTGCTTGTGCCAGACCTCCAAGATGCCCTGCAGCTCCTTGCTGACTCGAGAGGCAGGAAAGCTGAGCACCACTGTCCTCAGCATGCTGTCCATGGAGTTCAGGGTCTGCAAGGAACACAGAGAGCAGTGGCAGTCATTCTACTGTTCTTCCCAGCCCCAGGAGAGCCATCTGAACCCCCTGTGCCACAGGAGGAGGATGCCCACACTTCCCTGGAGAGACATGGACATAGACAGTCTTAGAGGGCATAGCAGCCTATGGCACAGGATGCGGCCAGGCCCATGGGAAAAGGACAGAGGCATGAGGGTGGGAAAGACCCTGCCCTGCCTGGGATCCCGCTCCTGTGGCAGCATGGGATAGCCAGGGAGAAGGTCAGAGGGGCTGGAGGCCTCTGGAGCTTAGCCAGCATTTACCTTCATATAGAGGGCAAGGTCTGCTTTTGGCATTTCCTTCTCTGCAGGCAGCCAGAAGACACTTGAGAAACACGCACGGAGGAGGCTTTTGGCTTTGCCCTCCAGCGCTGTGTCCACCAAGCTGCAGGGAGAGGGCAGGACACTGGTTGCACACGGGTGCTGGGAGCAGCCCCTCGATGACTCGTGCGGGTGGCATCGGACCTCTGGGCCAGGGGGTCCATGACGGATGGGCAGGTACCTCAATTTCTCCAGAGCCAGCATGGAAAGATGCCGAAGGTCTGTGCACAGGTGGTCCCTTGGCTCTTCTTCCAGCAGCGCCTGCAGAGCACAACCAGGATGGCACCTGCTGGCAGCTGCCAGCACCCAGGGCCTCCAGTCCCTGACCCGCCCAAGCGCTGTCCACACAGGCTGCCTGTGCCAGGGGGCTTTGCTCCCTTTGCCACATTGCCCAGAGTGCCCTCACCTTGATGTTCTCTGCCAGCTGGTACATGTCACAGAACAGATCCAGGCCCTGGGTCAGGCCGTGCTTCAAGGCGCTTCGGCACAGCACGGAGATGCTCCGAAGAAATGTGGCCTTGTCTCTCTCCTCCTGCCAGCCGGGGGACAGAGACACAAACACGGATTGTGAGTGGGCGGACACAGCCAGTGGGACCGCAGCACTGGGGGTGCAGTACCCTGCAGGAGAAGCAGCCCTGCCCTGCCAGCACCCCTCCAGCAACCGGGCAGCACAGCCCCTGCCAGCAGACAGCAGCACAGCCGCCCTCCAGCTGGCCCCAGTTACCTTGTTGGAGCTGGTGACAAAGGCCAGGATGGAATCAACAGCTTCCTGCTCCTCCTTGTAGATGGGCAACCAGCTGGCATCTAAGGGGGGAAAGAGCAGGGAGAGCTGCAGAGGGTCCAGCGAGAGGAGGGGGCAGAGGATATCTGGCCTCAACCCAGCTCTCTGCCCACTGCCTTGGCACGGCCTTCCCTTGCAGCTCCTGGCTGGAGGGTGCCCGGCAGAGGAGCTGCCATGCCTGGGAAAGCCCCAGTGCCCCGGGCTGAGGAAGGCAATGGCAGACAGGCAGGAAAGGCCCAGGCTCCCACAGCACGGCTGCCTCCTGCCAGCCCAGCTGGCCCTCGCTGCCCACAGCCCAGAGCCCCTCTGCCCTGTCCTTCTTTGGGAGAGGCTGTGTTGGGGCCATGCTCCAGCCCTGAGCAGTCCCAGCTTTCAGGCAACATCATGGCTGACCCTGGGGACCCCCGTTGTCAGCTGGCCAAGAAAGTGGGATCCCAGTGTGCTACAGGGTGTGCTGGTGGGCCCCAGCCCTGCCCAGCCCCACAGGGCCCCTCACTCACCGAGCTTGAGGGGCTGCATGGTGGTCACCTCGTAGGAGGATGGAAGCTGCAGACCTGGAGAGCGGCTCTCCTGGGAAGAGCTGTCTTCCATCCAGGCCTGCCTGGGGCAGGCGGGGGGTCTCCTCTCCATCCTGTGAATCAAAGAACACAGGGGAGCCTGCCTACGGAGGGCGTCCGAATGGTGGAGTCAAACACCCTCGGGAAAAATGCCGCGGCCAAATCGCCTCAGGCAAAGTGCCTCAGGCAAAAGGCCTCAGCAAAAGGTCTCAGCCAAAAGGCCAAGGCAAAGTGCCTCGGCCAAAAGGCAAAGGCAAAGCACCTCAGCCAAAAGGCCAAGGCAAAAGGCCTCAGCCAAAAGGCCAAGGCAAAGTGCCTCAGGCAAAGGCCAAGGCAAAAGGCCTCAGCCCAAAGGCCAAGGCAAAGTGCCTCAGGCAAAGCGCCTCAGCCAAAAGGCCTCGGCCCAAATGCCTCAGGCAAAAACGCTTCGGCAAAACGCCTCAGCAAAACACCAAGTTCCCACGGGGCCACCAAGGGTCGTGGACAAGACGTGGACTGCAGTCGGGGGCTTCTCGCCAGCACCGCACTCCTCTCCTGTCCGGTCGCCGTCCTGACGGACACTGACCCACCGTGGGCCACGGTCGTGCTGAGCACACCTGCTGCAGTGGGTGTCACAAAGGGCCCCTCTGTGACACGCTGCCGGCCGCTAGCAACAGGTCCCAGTGCTTGTTGACATGGCACCTGCCCCCAACAACGGGTCCCAGGGAGCCACCACGCAGGCTGGAACAGGTAGGGTGCCCCTGGGGACACAGGCCAGCCTCAGCCCTTGGCACTCAGCTGCCCTCAGAGTGTCTCCAGGCCCCACTTTGCTCTCATGTCTCCTCGGGACATCCCAAGGAGCCCCATGTTCAGACAGCCCTGCGTGCCCCCAGGACATCCCTTTCCTGTCCCCACACTGCAGAGTCTGGCCTCAGAGCCCTTCAGTCACATTAAATGCATAACGTTTACTCAAGCTTAACTGAAACTATGGTTTTTGTTACCTTTTCTCTTTCTCCCACTGACCAGCAAGAGCTTTTCCCCACTCAGCAGCTCTTCCAGCACCGGGCTGCTCAGGAGCCCTCCCAAGGCCTTTGCTGCACCCCAGGCCCCTGCAGGCACCCTGAGCTGCCCCAGGGGTGGCTGAGTGGCCCTGCCAGGCTGGCGGAGTCCTGGGGGGGCTTAGGGATGAAGTGGGGAGGATGGCACCCAGGGAGATTCCTTGGATTCACCAAGGAAGGCCTAGACTAAACTACCCCAGGGATCCAGCTGGAAGGGCCAGGCTCCTCAGCATGCTGGGAGCTGTCATCTTCTGGCACAGCCCAGCTGAGCGGCCGCATTGGTCCATCTGAGGGGCCAGGAGCTGTAGTCCTGCTGCTCTTGCCTCAGTTCTGTGTCTCTTCTACAGAATCAGACCAAAGAAGCCCCCAGAAGCCCAAAGGGCCCGGGAACAGCCCCTCTCTGACAGCCCCAGAGGAGCCCCGGAGCTGCCTGCCAGCCCAGCTGGCCCTCGCTGCCCACAGCCCAGAGCCCCTCTGCCCTGTCCTTCTGTGGGAGAGGCTGTGCTGGGGCCACGCTCCAGCCCTGAGCAGTCCCAGCTTTCAGGTAACATCATGGCTGACACCCGGGACCCCCGTGGGTCAGGAAAAATACACAGCTCAGGGGGGGCAACCCCTACAATAAATAACACAAGTGGCCGTTGTTTTTCTGCTTTGCTCGATCCCGGAAGTCGCTGCTGCAGCGGGTTCGTGTCTAAAGCTGCTCTTTCCAAGTCTCACAGTCCTGGTGTTCGCCTACAAAAAATTGATGAATTTAAAAAAAAAAAGAAAAGATGTGGCAATGTTGTTCATGAAGCCTTCAGCAGTCACCAAGAGTTCTGTTCTGCAGAGATTTCAACTATTTCCTAAATTCCACACTCGTGGCTTCAGGCCATGACTTGCCAGAGCAGTCCCAGAGCTGGCCACTGCCCAGAGATGCCCTGGGGCAGCTCCAGTGCCCAAGTGGGACAAGTGGCCCAGGGTGTGTGGGAGCCCTTTGGAGCAGGAGCTGGTGGGCAGGAAGGGCCCATCTGGGGAGGGTCAGGGAATCCCCCCCCGCAGCCCTGCTGCCCAGGCTGAGGAGGGTCCTCTCCAGCCCCCAGCACATCGTGTGCCCTTGGGGGCTGCGCTGCCAGGGCTGTTCCCAGGAACTGACTGGCCAAGGTGAGGAGTGTCAGAGACTGAAATGGTTCATGACTGTCCTGGGTTAAAAAGGGTTTTCCCCTGGAGCTGGAAAGTGGTTAACCCCAGCAGGTGGTGTTCTTGGTGTTAACCCAATCAGCACCCCTGCAAAATTAAACATATCACAACAGGCCGGAAAAGAAGAGATTACGTAGCTGAAAGAAGAGCAGTAGCCACAGTCTGAGACCACGAGGAGAGAGAGGGGCCAGGGAGCCCCGCTGGGGGCCAAGCCCCCCCCTGGCTGGGGCTGTAGAAACTCGGAACAGTGTTAAACTGGGCCGAGTACTGTGGCCAAGAGCTGAGGGAGTTTTTCTCCACTGTGAGTGGGCAGCAGGAGCGGCGGCAGAGACAGCACCGAACAGAGAGCTGTGGCTGAGAGCCAAGAAGACAGTCAGCAGGAGCGAGGTGGCACAGAGCCAAGCTGAGAGACACAGAGATGCCCGATGGAGAGACAGAGCACCAGGCTCAGCAGAGACTGTTTGGGGTGAGCCTGGCTTTATTTCTCCAAACCCTTTGAGATCCCTCTTGGAAGGAGGGGGTAGACTTCCACTTGAAGGGAGTCCTGAAATGCAGCAGCAACTAGAGAGAGAGAGAGAGAAGTTGAGAAGCTCAGAGATGTCCTGGAGCTGGACCAGGACAGCCAGGAGGAATGTGGAGGGGGGAAGAGGCCTTCCTGCCCCCCTTCACCATGCTGACAGTTTGAGACGGAGCAAAGGAGCTCTGCTAGAACACTTGGGGCAAAAACTGAACTGAAAGCCCTAAACTCAGGAGGAACTTGAATCCCCTGAGGAAGGGACTGTCATGGGTGCCTAGCACCCCGTGATATGACTGTGGAGAGGTGAGCCTTGTCCCTGCTTTCGCAGTCCATGGGAGAGAGACCTTGGGCTGGAGCTGAAGGGCCAAGGGGTGAGAGAAGCCCCCTGTGTTTTAACGGAGAGAGAGAGAGATTTTCCAGCTACGACAAATCCAGCTGCGACTGCTGCCTTGAAGAGGAGAGACACTGCTGCCCTGAAAGTGGAAAGGATCTTTTCATCTTCCCTTCAGAACTTTTATTGGAGGGAAAGGAGGGATTTGATCTAATGTAAATATATTGCTTTTCCATAGGAGAGATAGTTAGAATTGTGTATATAATGTATTATAGTATTTATTTGTGTAAGTAATAAACTGTAATATAATTCCTTTCCCCCCATACTGAGCTGTGTTTTGTCTGAAAACCCTCTCACACTGAAACAAATTGGGGGGGGGCTAGGACTTGGAAATTGGATTTTTGAGGGTCTCAAACTGCCACAATGATTTACACATTCTAGGATTGCCAGGGCACTTTTGCAGGCTGGGAAGAGGCAGCTGGACCCATCCCCCCTGCCAGTGCTGCTGAAGGTGTCAAGCCCTGAAAAGGCGAGAAGAGTCGTGTTTACCAGGCCCCTCACGGGAACTCTGCGCAGGCCCAGCAGACCTTGGAGGCTCGAGGCACGGCCTGGGACACCATCCATGGATATAATAACTCAGAACTTCTTGGAGTGTGGGGGCTTCCCTCCCCCACCCCCAATGGATCAAGGCCACCACTTCAACTGACAGACATGGAAGCTGCAACTCCCAAGTTCCATCGCTGGACCCCGTGGGCAGTGACTATAGACATCTTTCCACTCTCAGCTTTGCTTTCCCTTACTCTCCCTCACCCTTATCCTGTCTTTCCTTTCTCTACTTATGCATTTTCCCCTAAAGGTTCTCTTTATGCCATATTGCTATAGATGAGAGATAGAGATGATAACACCCAAAATGGAAACATACCTGTTTACCTTTGAAATGAAATTGTTCTAACATAAACCCTACATACATATGTTTTCAAACACTGATTATTCAGTGTCGTTTCACTTTAATCCACCCCCAGGGATTTATTAATAAGAACCTGGTTACCCCCCCCTTTCTGGGATGGGTAGTAACAGACCCCTTGTAGCAGGATGTTCTACCTGGAAAAGAATCTGATCAGAGAATGCAAGCACTGCAAGCTCTCTGTGGGGAGTTACTGCTGGTGCCAAGGGCTTGGTTTAGTGTTGAATTGTGCCAAACCCAGCCTGGTTCCCCAACCTTCCAACACACATCCTGCTTTTGGAAGCAGAGTTTGACAGATCAGCTGCTCACTGGTCTGGGAAGATGTGACTGGAAATCCATCACTGGAAAAGCATAAAAGCCCAGGGCCAACTTTGACAGAGCAGATTCTTCCACAGAGTTTGTTGAAGTGTGTGGAGCTTCTGCTGTGAAGCAGGGACAGCTCTTGATGGTCACTGCCCAGGGGGTAAAAGAAAGAGAGAGATCTGCCTTTATTTATTTCTATCAGACCCCGCCGGGCCCTCCCCGCTTCCTGCCGGGATCGGACACCGCCGGCGGCCCCGGCCCTGCCGGGCTCCATCAGCCTCAGCAATTGCTGCCAAGGAGGGGCCGGGGGCTTCCTCTTGGCCTTCGTCTCCCTGGCGCTGGGGCTCGGCTTCTACCTGCGCCAGAAGGTGAGGGGGGTCCCAGGGGGTCGTGTGTCCCCCCAGAGCGTCTGTGCCCCCCCGGGGACCCCCACCCCGGTGTCCTTTTCTCTCCCCACAGAGCTCCTGAGCCGGCGGCGGCCGCAGCCCCTCCCCGGGGCCTCGTGCCCAGCCTGGACCCCCCCTGTCCCTGTGAGGATTTTGGGGGGGTCGTGTGTCCCCCCCTCCCCTGCTGCCACTCCTGATCCCAGGAAAGCTTCCCAGTTCTCCCCAGTCCCGGTTATTGCGGGGCAGTGGGGAAGGGGCTTGGGGGAATCCCAAAGGGTGGAGCCGAGTTTGAGGGGGGGCAGAACAGGCCCCGGGATGGATCGGGAATGGGAACCCCCCTGTGTTCCCCCCTGTCAGCCCGCTCTGGGGGGCTCTGGGAGGGCACCTGCCCCTCAATAAGGCACCCAGCACACTTCAAAAGGTGCTGGGAACCCCCTAAACCTCCACACAGGCTCTGGAGGACTGCCTAAACATACTCAAAGCCCACCCAGGACTCCACCCAACCCCTTCCCTGGGGGGACTTCTCTGGGCACTGGTGGTGCTGGGAGCCCCCCCGGCTGCGGGCGAGGAGCTCTCGGGTGAGCGGGGGGTGGGAAGGGGGCGGTCAGTGGGAAAAGGGGGGTCAGAGGGGACAGAAGGGGTGGTGGGACCCCAAACTGAGTGGGAGGGGAGTGGGACTCCCCAAAAGTGGAGGGAGGAGGGGCACTGAGGATGCCCTCTGGAGCCCTGTCAGAGCCCTGACACTTCTGGGGTGACTCCAGGAACAGCCTTCACTGGCCCAGGGACATTCATCTCCCCAGCCTCGCACACATCCCCTGCAGATGGCCCTGTCTCCTCCATCACCCTCCTCTGCCTTTCTGGCCTGGCCCTTTCATTCCACACCAGCAAAGCAGCCTGGGCACCATCTCACCTGGGCACTCAGAGGGCTTCTGTGAGCAGGAGGGGCAGATTTCTCTAGAAGGTGCA